ATCTTTAATGTAAAACAGCCATGGTTCATAAAGAGTACAGATGAGGAGCAGGCTCTAAGGAGCTATGCTGCATTACAGTAGACAAGAACATTAGCGTTGCAACCAGGCAGATGCAGGTTTTGGTCCAAAAGAAGTGTTATCTACCCTGCAACTCAGTTTTTCATATGTAAAATGAAGGTAGACAATTAATTGCTAATACTTTCTAGCATTTTGTATTTAGTTACATTTGGTTGGTTATGACCCAAATTCCTGACAGAAATAATTTAAGGGAATAAATATTTATTCGAGCTCAAGGTGTCAGGATGTGGCAGTGTATCAGGACAGGGAAGGCAGGGCAGGGCAGCTCAGCCCAGGACAGTAGGAAAGAGCGAGGGCTCTTTCCATGGTATCACTAGGGACAGAAAGAAGGCGAGCACCAGGACTGGCTACAGTCTTCAAAAGCCTGCCCTTAGTGCCTAGTGGCCTACTTCCCATAGCCAGGCCCCATATTCTGTGGGTTCCTCACCTTCCCCCAGTGCCCCCATCACTCAACAATACCAGCACTCTGAAAAGAAGCATTTAGAACATGAGCCCGTGGGGACATTTTAGATTCAAACCATAAAAGATTTTGTAAGAATTATCAAGATAATACATATAAAGAACTTGAGTACAACTGCAGATCAACTGGCTCTGCAGTAAGTAGGTGTTACTAATTACTGTGGATTCAGCAAAGCTGGTAGAAGCAATGTGTGTGATAGTGGGTGAATTTCAGTAGAATGATGCTATTGTGCCAATCACCATTTTTTATTGGTCTCTCTCTCATAACCAAGCACTAGATTTTTCTTGCTGTTGCTCATTTTGGAGACCTTTGTGAGGGAGAGACTTCAAAATTCTGTGAAATATACAAATTTAGATTTATATCTGTCAAAGACAAAATTTAAACCAGGCTTTCTGGTTTCAGGCCTGATATTCCCTCTATACCTCTACTGAGAAAGAACAGTTTCTGGATGGTTCCTTGCTTACTGCTTTAAAAAGCAATCTTGGTTCACAGTTGAATTAAATTTACAGCCACTTTTGAAAGAGCTGTATCCTTGCTCTGGAGTGTGTTACTGAATATGTTAAAGCTGTAAATGAAATGCTTCTGCTAATCATGTGGTTATTAAATTTAAAAAAATTTAAATAATAATTCTTCAAAGCATAAAAATTTGCTCCTTAATAATTAGCATATGTGAAAAACATTACCATTGAAATCCACCTGATGACTTTATATCCATGCTCAAATGCCAAGGAGCTCAGAAAGTAACCTATGACATTGGTGAGCTAAAGTGGTGTTATTGAATGTCCCTATTTGCTCCTTAATAATTAGAAGATATGAAAAACATTACCATTGAAATCTACCTGATGACTTTATATCCCTGCTCAGATGCCAAGGAGCTCAGAAAGTAACCGACTGTGACTAGTAACAATCAGATATACAGAGATTAGAAACACATGTGCTAACATCTTAGTGTCAATTGCATTAAAAATGAATTTTTCTGTATGAAACTGTATTTTAATAATGAAATGGAGATCTTTTTTGAAGGTTAAAAACCTCATTTAATTTTATATCTTATAGGGTTTATATACTGAGTACAATATTGTATCACTGTATGAATTCAACTTGTAAACCTAAAAATTTACAGCCAATTTTGAAAGAGATGCGTCTTAGCTCTGGAAATTGTTATTAAATATGTCAATGCTGTTGTAATGAAATGCTTCTTCTAATTATGTGGTTACTAAACAAATAATTTTTTAAAAAAGAATGGTATTAAATTTATATAGTATTAAAAATCGAATTCCGAAATAAAATATTTTGTGGTGCAAGAGAGATGCTCAGCTGTCAAGAGCACTAACTGCTCTTGCAGAGGACCTGGATTTGATTCCCAGCACACACACATGGCAGCTAACAACTGTCCGGAACTCCAGTTCCAGGGGATCCAACATCTTCTGACCTCCTTGAGCATTGCATGACACCGGTACACTTATACATATGCAAGCAATACACTTATACACATAAAATAAAAATGATAAATAGAATATTTTAAAAGTTGAAAAATAAGCAATCTTGGACTCCTTCGATCACAGAACTGGGAGAGCGTGGCAAGGGTTCTATTTGTCCTGCCAAGATCTGTTCCCAAACTACCCGGGAACACTGGGAATACTGAACTGACATTTTTGAAGGGGACAGAAACTATAAACTACCCCACTCCACTATGTGTTCATCAATAAAATGGATATATTTATTTATTTATTTTTTGTATTTTTAAAAGGAATAGCCATCAACAAATGACTGGTAATGCTTCCACAAATTGTACTGACTGACTGACTGGTCATGACTTCTAGACTTTCACCACTAGAATGAAATATTATTAGGGTAAAGTTTTTTAAAAAAATATTTTATTTAGGGGCTGAAGAGATGGCTCAGCAGTTAAGAACACTGGCTGGTCTTGCAGAAGACCTGGGTTTGAATCCCAGCACCCACAAGGCAGCTAACAACTGTCTGTAACTCCAGTTCCAGGGGATCTGACAGCCTCTTCTGTCCTCCACGGGTATTGCATGACACAGGTGCGCTTACCTAAATGCAGGCAATATACTCATACACATAAAAATAATAAAGAAAATATTAAGACATTTTATTTAATATTTTAATTTTAAATGTATGACTGTATTGCCTGCCTATAAGTGCACCCATGTCGTACAGTGTCCTCAGATATCAGAAGAGGGTGTTCGATCCCCTAGAACTAGAGTTATAGATGGTTGTTAGCTGCCATGTAGGTGCTGGGAACCAAACCTGGGTCCTCTGCAAGAGCAGCCAGTGCTCTTAACCACTGTGCAATCTCTCCAGTCCCATTTAGGCTATAGTTTTAAGAAAGCCCTTGTTAGTCTGGGGGGAGGGGAGGATATAAACATAGCTGTTTTTAACCATGACTGATTCTTACCAGACTAAGCAGTTGTGTGTTCTAATGATCCCTCTTGGAGCATATAAGCAGATTCCAAAGGAGAGCTGAATTTGAATGCAAATAATGAAATAATCCCAGTGTTTGGGGACATGAAGAGAGCTGATACTTCCTGCCACCTCCAGGAAGCCTGAAGAGTGCTGGCAAAGGAGGAAACAGTAACTGGGAACGGAGGGAGTGAGATGCCAGAAGTCAGTCAAGCCTACTTAGAAGCACTCAGTCCCAGGGCTATGCCTAAAAATGATTTGTAAGCTTATCTTGCTTAAAATTATGATTTTTCCCTGGATTTTGTACTGAGCAAAGATGTAAAACAACTAAAAGGCATTGTTAATATTCCTAATATTTCTTAATCACTAAACATAAGCTAACCTTTTAAATTTTTAATCTTACATAATTTCACTTAGCATGTTGTTGGTACTTGAGAAAGACTTGCTGAATGAGTGGATCCTCCATGATTCTACACCTCCCCCTCCACCCCATAATTTACAAGTAACAGTGGAAGCACTTGAAATTTTAACACTTGAGGCAACCTTTTAAAAAAACACCACCAAAAATTTAAAGTCTAAACAAGGATTTCCAAGAGAACTGCTTTATTTGTCATGATTAAAATGTTTTAAAATTTTCTCTGATCCAAACAGTAGCCACTAGCCAAATATGGATATTTGACTATTTGAAAGGCAGTTAGAAAGCTGAAGGAGCTGCATGTTAATTTAATTACATTTAAATCAAAGTAGCCATATGTGGCTAGTCCCTATCTACTACGTTGGACAGGTCTAATGGTTTTGTTAAAAGTGTTCCATCCTTCTCACCTTTAAAACGAACTCTTTTAAAGAATTACTGCTATCAATAATTACACATTTATTCCTCTATGTTCTTTTAAAAATAAAAATAACTTGGTTTACCTTTGCAAATCTGTAGACTAGTATATCAAACCAAACTGAAGTGCAGAGTTGCACCTCGGGAGAACTTGCATCGTTTTGAAGATTTGTAATAGAGGGTCAGTGTCTAATTTCAGCCATCGACATTAAAGGGGTGGGCAGCATATGTAGCTGCCATAGTGAAGGGTAAGAAGTGGGATGGGCACCCACCGGCAGGCTTGCTTGACAAGCCAGCCTTCCCTTGGCCTGCCTGCCCACCTCCACAGGCGTCTGGCACCCTCTGGCTGCCCCTGAGTCTGCAGGCACCTCTAAGGTCCTTTCCCATATCCCTCCTTTTTCTGATTCCTACAGTCTTCCCTTCCCTTACAAGAAACCCAGGACTGCAAAGGGAATATGGGGCTCCAAGAACAAGTGAAGCTGACGGAAGTACGTTCTAGATGCTTGCTGGACACTGTCTAGGATATCCAGTAAGAACGTGTTGTCTGCGTGAATGGGTATTATCTCCACGGCAAATAAATGAGACCCAGTACGTTTTTTTCTTTAAATATAGAATGCATTTTTAATCATGTGACGCAGACACTATTTCCTTATTACAGACGAGGGAGGACACTGGAATTTGGAGCAGTTCTTTGACTTTCTAAAGCCTTACCTAACCAACACACAATACCCAGTCTCTGTCTTTTTCTTGCCTTACTGTTTGAGCCCATTGCCTTATTTGGGACCTCAGATGAGCTTTTAACCTCTGAAAACTAAACAGACCAATAGACTTACTCAAACGGATGCAAATGTGGTGATAGAATCAGCCTCCGCCCGCGCCCCCCCGCCCTGAAAATTCAGTCTAAATCTTTTAGGGACAGTGTCAATTTACAGAAATGGCTCCCTTAGATTTTCATGCTGTTCAGGAGAAACATTTTGGGACTTTAATGGCATTAAAAAAATTCCATAGCAGATATTTTCTGGGAGCCTGGACGCTTATATAAACGCGACACATTCAGTTATGAATTAAACTTCAGCAGGGCTTGCATTTATCCATATCTATGTAGTTTCCTGGAGTAGTCGATTGATTTGTGTATTAGCCACTACCTCTACAGATCACTGGTAAGACATTAAAACTTGGCTCCGCCCCCTCTACCCCCCACCCCTCGGAACCTTCTATGCCTCAGACTAGGTGTAAAGACTTAGGAGCATTTGTTAGGAAAGGATTTGGAGCTTAAAAATACGGCGCTGTGATTTTCAACATAAAGACCACAAACAGCGCTAGAGCACAAGAAGTATTTAAAACATATCACATTCCTCAGAAGTTGGGGGACTACAAAGTCCAAGTCGTCCAGTCCTGCCTGCTGAGACTGTTCGCGCTTCCGCCCTGTACAAACCCGGGCAGGCGACCAGAAGAGACGAATTTCAGCTGCAGAAGAGGAAGAGCATCACCTGCAGTCCGAGGCGTGGGAAACGAACCGCTACCCGACGGGATTCGTGCGCCCTGGAGGTGCTCGCCACGGGGGCCGGGGCTGCTCCGGTGCTGGGCGCGAGGGAGGACAGCGCTCTGCGGAGCCCCGAGGACACGGGGGTGGGGGGTGGGAGAGGGACAGACTTTTCACCGTGGGGACGGTTGCCGCCGGAGAGATCGCTGCGGTGGGGAGCCCGCGGCAGCCCGGGCGTCCGCAGCTGCCACAGGCGGGGAGGCAGGCCGGAGCGGGTGAACCCCTACAGTGCGGTGGAGCCGGGGAGCCGGGGGCGAGGCGGGGCGCTGACGTCACCTCCCCTCCCCCAGCGGCTCCTGGAGGGAGGAGTGGGGAAAGAGGCAGAGATCCGCCGCAGCTGCCGGCCGTAAGTCCTCAAGTCAGTCGGCGGCTGGCTGCCTGGGCATGTTCTGAGAAACTTGGCGTCCCCGCGGCCCTCGGCGCAGCCCCGCGCTCTCTCTCGGCCACCTCTTCTGGTTCTCAACTTTCCCCCGGTCGGAAGCCACTGGAGATGCGCCCACCTGGGTCCCGACAGCGCCGGTGGATCGCACTGTGGTTGGGGATATGCTGAAGATCCGAGGGAAGCAAAGTTGGGACTTCCAGCCCGGCTCTTAACAAATTCCCAAACCGCGTGGGGAATTGTCCAACTGCCGGGTGCCGGAAGGAAGGGCCCCGGAGACTAGGCTACGAGGGGGTGAGTTCTTTGTTCAGCGCATGCTTTTTTGAATTTAAGTTTAAACGTAATAACGTGGGGTGTGTGGTTGTAAGCGAGTGGGGGCGGGGGTGATGCATGTGCATCTCAGAGGATGTAAGCCCAGGGAACTGCACACCGGGTCGGCTGTGCCCGGCGCGGGAACGAAAGACCTGTATGCGTAGCTTTGAGAATTCACAAAACACACACAGAGCACTGTTCAAAAGAACTTGGGAAGAGAAGCCGTTTGTGCATTATTTCCAATGTAACTTGTTACAGAAATGGTGCCCAGGGAGGGCGCCGTGGGGACCGCGTGATCTGCAGTGGCGCAGCGCCCTCTAGTCCAAGCCACCGGCACGACGCGCTCCTAGCTGGAATCCGCGCGGACAGGGAACTTGGACCTGCCAGCACTCGAGCGCCGGCCGGAGCTCCGCACCCCAGCCTTCACTTACCCCCACCCGGACCACACTTTATGCGCTTTCAGAGTCAGCTCGAGTGAACCGGGTTGCAGAGGCGGTGCTTGAGGAAAAGAGGCTTTCGGGGGGAACAGCCCTTCTTCCACTTATTTTCCTCCAGCCTCTGGGGACAAGGTTAGGGAAGATGTACTATTTAGAGGATGTATGCGGAACTTGAACTTCGTTTCTCTTTATGTGAAGGAAACTCGCTCGTCGCCAAAAAGGCAAGTCCGTTTAGTTCGGTTGGTGGCCAAAGGATTAGCAAAATCGTGGCAGCCCGAGAGTCAGCATCTTTGGCTTTCAGAGGGTCCTGTGGCAACCAAGTGCAACTTCTTCCAGGCAGCCAAGGTTTACCGGTGAGCCTGGGAAGACAGCATTCTCAACCTGGTATTTGAGTTCTAGTAAACGCTAATATATATTAATGAATGGTTATTTTCCCCAGGATTTAAAAAATGTCATTTAGAAAATCCTATGTTTGTTATGGATGATATATTTTTCTACTTTTTGCTGTACTTCTTTCCCCCGTCTTAACACTACCCCAGACCCTCTGACGGCATTCTTGAGTGGCTGTGTTTTGTTGAGAGTTAAAATTCAGCGAGGGGCACAAACCGGTTGAGCTCGGAGATCAGGTCACTCACTTTCGCAGTGCTTGCAGTGCTTCATGTATGAAACTGACCAGGAACTCTTTGCGCAATTGTCGCCGCGGCCAAACGAGTTTTGGGAGTATGATGATGTTTGATTTACTGGGTGTGTGAATTTGTGTGTATTCTAAGTACTGAGCGGAGCACAGCTACAAATCGGCCCACTCATTCTAAAGGTATTACATTTTCTTTCCAAGCATAACCTGCTAGGCACCGTCATCTTTTTTTTTTTTTAGCCACCTTCCTTACGATGGCTTAAGAACTTGGAGCTAAGGAGAAACACTCCTAACGTTTAGTCTCTCTAGCCCCCATCTTCCGTGCATTGCCGCTTGCTGCTCCCTCCACCCGCTCCAAGGGAAATCTGATCTCTTCGTCCTCGCGGCGTTGAAATGTTTGAGCCCCACAAACTTTCCGAGGTCAAGTCCTCCCTCTTCTCTGGGCTGCGTCCCAAAGCAGTCCTGGCTTCGACTGAGTCTCAGCTGCTCTTGAGCAGGCGTCTGGAGCTTTGCCCGCGCCGGGGATGGACTTGCAGCTCTAGGATGAGCAGGCTGGGTGCTAGAGCGAGTTCTCAGAGTGGGGCGCCTGGTGGCCGGGGATTTCCCTGTCTGGCTGGAGAACTGGGAGCAGGTTTCGAAGACCTGGGGCCCCGGGAGGCGGAAAAAAGAGCTGGGAACGCTTGAGGAGGCGCGGCTGCCTTTGTCCCACCGGGCCAGGAGTCGGGGGTGTAGGTTTGAGACCTACCTTGGCGACGGCCGCTGGGGTCTGGGAGTTCTGGGGTCCGGGAGTTCTGGGGTCCATGGGGTTCAACTAGCTCTGCACAAACAGGTCGCCGAGGAAACAAGTGCGTTTTCCTCCGCCTTAGTGTGGATGTCAGGAGGAAGCAGATTCCGATCTAACTGCATTCCTTTCCAGACCGTCTGTAGTATTTTACCCTGCTGGTTGGAGACTGAGCCGGGTATTCAAATGCCAATTCAGGGATTTCCTGGAGGGTGTGAAGTCTAAAGGACGATTGCAGAGCTTTTTCCTGAGGCCTTAGCTGACCTCTTAATTTTTTTTCCACTTTTTTTCACTTTCGTGTTTTCGGTTAAGCAAATGTTTCCCCTCTCCTAGCAGGGAACATTCCATATAGTCCTTCGTTTCTGCTGCTGAGTGCGGGACGTCCCTGACCCCGCTGTTAGTAAGCTGTCCCTTCGCCTTACTGCCGGATGACCCGTGCGCTCACTCCTCGCTGCTCTCGGAACCCGCCTTTGTAACCCAGGGGTGCCTTTGACCCGGGGCAGGGCGGGGCGAGGCGGTCCTGGACCTGCGGGCGCAGAGTCGCTCTGCCCAGCAAAGTCTGCGGAGTTTCCGCGCTGGAGAAACGAGCGCCGGCGCGGGCAGGCGTGGCCGCGGGCGGAAGGATATCCTTCGCGTGGAGCTCCGGGAGCCGGGAGGAGCTGGAGGCGCGGGCGGCGGGGACCGCGGGGACTGCGGGGACAGCGGGCGGCAGCATGCGGACGTGCGGGCCCAGGGCGGTCCCCGGCACATCGGTCTCCCGCCGCGGGGCGTGCTGAGCACCCGGGGTGTGCTCCTCGGCTGCGCCGTCGCCACTCGGGGCCAACTTTGCAGTAAGTTGGTGGCGGGGAACTTAAGCTGGAGCGGGGGTGGCTGGGGTCCCCGAGGTGTCGCCCGGTTCCCGTGAGCGTGCAGCTAGCACCGGGGCGCGTGGTTCTGGGGGTGTCCTCCCAGGGGATCACGCTCCTCTTTGGCTTCCCCGGGGGATGGAGCGCTGAAACCGGTGCACCGTGGCGGAGGCTGGAGCCCCGCAGTCCTTCATCCCAATTGCAAAGTTGAGAGGCGGCGGCGGGTGACCGGCGGCGGCCCGCGGAGGATGCGGGGGCGGAGGGCCGGGAGGGGATCCCTGGGACGTGGAGGGAATGGTAATTACCGGGTCGGTGCCTCCAGCCCTGGCTGGAGCCCTTCCCCGGGGAACACGCCTGCGCTCTCCTGCGCTGACTTCTCTCTGTCTCTCTGCTCTCGAGACGTTTCCAAGTAGGTGAGATGAAAGCCCAGACGCTCGCTGGAGTGTGGGATCTTTGAAATGGAGTCGCAGAGTTCTGTGTTCTGGGGAGTGCAGCCCTGAGGTTGCTAGAATGCGGATCCGGTGCGGGGTAGTTTAGTGGCGGTCGGGAAGTGGTTTCTATGCTTTCTGGAAGAGAAACTTGTCTTTTAAAGAGATGAGATTCTGCGGCTTCAGTACTTCTTACTGTGCTTTCTTGTTGGAAGCAAACTCTCTCGTCTTCTGAGAACCCCCCCCCAAACCCCCTGATGTGAATTGCAGTGCTTTGGAAACAAGGAGACAATTGTATGCTATAGCAAAGTAAACTCATAAATATTTTCTATGCAGTTAATTTTTTCATGTGTCTGAACTATGGTTTCAGTAATGGCTTTTGTTGAACAACTCCATGTGTCTTGTAGAGAGGTTTACATTATATAAATAAAATATATAATATAATA